CCCAAGTTGCAAAACAGAAAAAATAATGACAAACCTAAAATATCAAAAGGTACCACTTCGACACCCAAGAAACATTGTGAAAGTTGATTAAAAAAATATCCATTGGAGTACAGATGCTCCAGCTGCAGGTGTCAGGGTCAACATCTAAATGTGAAGGTCACATACTTTTCTTCAGCCATTAGACATGATGTCCACATGCGGTACTTTTATGCAGGTTCAGTTTTTGTGTTGATCTTTTAAGAATTCCAACCAGCCTAATACAATCAGAACTTTGTTCTTCCCACCACAAAACAATGTAAGAGAATAAGAACTCTCAATAGTTGAATGTCTCTATATATTATTACACATTATTATTCTATACCTCCTCTCACCTTAATGGTTTCATCTCATAGGACATTTTAAGGCTCATTCCTGAAGGGAGGAAATTAAAACAGGGAAGGGACTTAGCTGAATCTCCTTCAGCATAAGACCTGTATTACTGCATCCCAGGAGAAATAATATACTTTCTTTACATGGACTTCAAACATTAACTGTGAGTATTAACTGCCCATACACTAGACATTCCTGTAGAGCTCTGAAGCTGAGGCTTCATACCAAACTCAGCTGGGAGGAGAAAAGAATAACAGCATCCGATTACCATGGATGTGAATGTCCAGTCAACGTTATACATTATTATAAGATAAGATAAAATAAATCATTGATCCCTGTTGGGCTGTTTAGTTGTTGAAGTAGCAAAAAAAGATAAGAAAAAGAAATACAAGATCTTAAAATCCAACACATGCAAAACTGCATTTAAACATTTATTTTTACATGTTACTTTGGTGCCATTTGACTGAAATTCATTTCCTGGAGGTTTTTCCCATGAAGTGCGGTGTTACACTGTCTTTCATCAATCTTTCTTACCTCGGTATGTGTGGATGTGTTAGGAGGTCAGAAGGTTAGTCACAACTCAAAGGCGTCATGAAAAGGAGCTATGGTATAAGGGACTTTAGAAAGTAATACACAAAGGAGTGATGTACCAGCAGTGTTGTTTTATCTCAGCTGTCAAAAGCCTGTTGAGGTGCCAGAGAATATGAAGTATCTGTACCACAGACACAGATACTTGTAGACATGAAGCTCATCGGACACAGGAGGTTTAAATGTTCAGCTTCATAGGTTCTAATGTATAATCAAACTCCACTGCATCAGGTTACACTGGCCTTCAGGACATGCGTTATTGTCCACTCATTCAGAAAGATTTACTGGTCAGTTTGCCATCATCACCAATTGGCAACAACCATGAATAGAAATGTGAATCCTGGTTGGACAGAAAATGGTTTGTATTAATCGTCGATAATTGATAACCAATCCCATGTGTTCACATGGATGTGGGCCACTTCAGGCAATGATGCAGCACTTCTGACCTTCTTGTGACCCACACAAAATGGATGTGAGCCAAATGTGGCCACCTTGTAAGTGGCCCAAATATCCCAAAACAAATGGCAAACATGCAGTGCTCCAGACAATGTGGAATCTGAATGTGAGCCTTAACTGGCCCATGTGGTAAATGGGGAGCATTGCCAAAATAGCACAAAAGAAGTTTGGGCCACCTAGGGTTGATATTATTGCTATGGCTTACTTGTGGCCCGTTTCTGGCAAACAGGAGCGGACCGCCCAAGTGCCGTCATTCCATGAGGCATGTGTTTCAGATGTCCCAAATCTGGGCCAATACAATTTTGCTATACGAGATGGGAGACTGTTTCTAGAAAGAGACATTGCTATAAATGTCTTTCTTAATCTGTCGTGACAAGGGGGCAAAAGCAGGCCATTTTCATACCAGAGATAATATGACACCATGCATTGTGGTATATAAACAGAAGAAGCTATAAAGCTTAAGTCATAGATTTTTTTCTTTGCACACTCTGGGGCAATGCTCAGAAATACACTACATGAGCTCTGTGACCATTCATTTGAAATCCATTATACACTCCTTTTTTAAGCTGTTTTGGTCTAATCAGGAAAAAATTATATATCTGGCTTTTTAGTCTCTGCACAAAAGTGAAAGCTGCCGACCTCTGCATGAATCACAGGATGAGGAGTGGTGAGACTTATGCCTAAAAACAACACAGTGAACTGAGAGAAGCCACATTGCTCCGTAGAATTTACGCCCTGTACACACTGATGTGGTCATTGTGGCAAACAAACTTTGTGTTTGGGCCTCCAGACCACATGCAAACAGCACTTTAAGTCACCAAACTAATATTTTTACAAACACCTTCCAAGGTGCAGATTTCAAGACTTGTATCCGTGTGAACATGTACACAGATCGTTGAGGAAACGATGAAATCGTAGCACGACAATTGTTGCTTTGTGCTATGAGCATGCACCAGAAACAACAACAATAGCGGCTACAGACCAGTTTCAAGTTAGCTGCTAAATTTAGCATCACTGCACCACATTGCCAACATTCACAAGCGTCTGCCTCACCCAATATTACTTGGATCACTGTGTTCTCTGGTATTTTGACGGATTGTTGATGTAGAATTTATCGCCACCTCCAGGCCCAGCTGACTTGTTTGAGCATTAAGACGTGTATTATTCGGATCAAGCAGAGCAGAGATAACACTGTATTTTTTTGGTTATTTGGGTGTAGTGACATTACTGGGTTGGACTGACATTACTGGGAAAAGCAAGCAATGTAAATCATGAGTATATACTATTGAGCTAAACTTTGCACTCTCTGACTGACTAATTAGGGCACAACCCTCTGCCAAGTCTGTCAAAATCAGGCTCGCTACTTATTTCCTCACCATTTGGCTTCACCTACACCTCAGCAACAGAACATACTCTGAGGTTTCTGCGCTCATAAACAGCTCATAACTTTCAGTAAATCACTGCTGCAGCTCTGCGGATTGAGGTGACATGGGAATGACAGCTAAATGAGAGCTTTTTTCGAGAAACCCATTAAATAAGTCAGTCTCACAGTGAGAAGGAACCATAGCCACACACACACACACACACACACACACACACACACACACAGCTAACATGCCAGGCAAAACTCAGAGTGTCTCCTTATGTGTAGCTTGCAGTTTGAGATTACAATTCAAGTTCTCTTCCAAACAATGACAGCCGTTGGATGTGTTGATTATACATCTTGTTAATCCATCTGTTGCAGATATATGGCTTTCTGGCACATCTGACCTTAAAGCTGTAATTTAATATGCCAATATAGCGGAGACACAATTCGAGCCATGTATCTGGCCTTTGATACCTTTCCACTAAACACTGTCAAACGCACTATAATTACACATAGTTTATGGATTTACGTTCACTCTTGTTGGATGTGATTAATTTTGCTCTTGTAGTCGAGTGGAGGCAAACAATATCACTGTTAGATCAATCATTGCTTTTGATGTCTTGATTTATAGTTTTCCAGGTGGAAGTCAAAGTGTGGAGCGTCAGTATGTAACCCTCTTAGCACTGTAGCGTGTCTCAGTGTTTGCTATAATTATCTAACATTTGAGCAGATCAGCAGGTTCCCATCCTTTGACTCACAAAGTCATCACTCAGAGCTCGTTCCAGGTCTGACAGCACTGGCACGCAACCACAGTCTGAGAGCGAGCCAGAGCTACTACTGTATCACCAACGCCTCTGCACCCACAAACAACCTACACATACCTCCTTTGTGACTGTCCCTCCCTTTCTCTCGCTGCCTCAAGCTATTCATGTCTTCTCATGCTCGGTGGCATGTCAGACGGACAAATTATACAGCAATAACAACTATTTTGCAGTGAGCACAGTAGTTGTTTATCACACAGATTGTGATTAAGGGAAAAAAAAAACTGTCAAAAAAGGTTTTTAATCAGCCCAAATTATATTTATACATTTATTCAAAGATTGGGTGTTAAATAAAAAGAGGACAAGCCATAAAGACAATTCCAAACTTTAAAACAGGATGCAAACATTAACAATTTAAACGATGACAAAATAGAATCTCCGTTTCCAAATTTTAGAGAACACCAAGCCACAGAAATGGTGTGTATTACATAATGTATAAGGCAGTGCAGTGATACTCCCAGAGAACAGAGAGTGGTTGTGAGGGTGTGGAGACAGAAGTAGGTATCAAGGCGCCATGTTCGTGCTGTACACCTTCACTGCACTGCCATCTTGTGACTACACTTGAACCAACTACATGGCCTGTATTGATTTTTTTTTTTTTTACTGGACCACAAACTATATATAGGAAGTCACTTAATGCCATCCAGTCATTCTGTTCAGTCCTACTGTTGGTTATAACATTGTACTTCCAAAGGTAACAACAACATCAGTTTACATAGTGATTCTGGTCTATTGTTGTGCACACTGTGAAATGAAGGGTTATTAATGACTACTAAGGGTGAGCTCACTTTCACTTTGCAGTGTGGAGCAATTTATCCATGTTGACATGTTTAGGGTCACGTATCCTGATTCATTTGTTTGAATGTTTGTGATTTCGAACAACAGCAGTAAGCCAACAATGACACTCACAGTCGATTGAATGCTTTTGTTTCCATTGAGTTGATGCCTCAACATCAACCAGGTTTTTTCACACTAGTCACTTTTTACAGATGCAGGTCACTTTCTGTGGTTAGATAAGGCTTTAAGGAAGTCAGCTAATTTAGCTGGTTGATGATAATGTATGTACAGTATGACGACATTTATTAAATATTTACGGTTTGGTTACATTATTGTGGCGGTATTGTAATTCTGGGATCCAGGCAGTAATATACTTTTTATTTCTTAGCAAAAATGTGGGTTATTTTATTCATTCATCATTTCCCTATAAAACTGCATATCAATATTATATAAAATCACATATCGGGTGATATGGATTTTCATTCATATTTCTTATCCACAGTTTGAATGGAAAGTCATCAAATAAGAGATCAGGGAGAAGATGTACTTCCATCCTTAAAGGATCCTTATAAAGTTTTATAATGAGAATATGTTGACATATGTTGTTTGACAGAACCTTTAAAAAAGCTGACAGGATATTGTGGCTCCATCGGGATGCTGATTTACCGTGTCATCACATCATCCACAGGATAAAACATTTCACTTCAGTGGTGGCAGGGGAAGCTCGCTGACCTCATGTCCTCAGAATATCTTCATATCTTGAAAATGCTGTTCATAGCTTTGATTTCATCAGTGGACAGAGCAGAGAGATTGTAGCCTCTCACCTCAGGGTTACCTGCAGACAAACACAAAGACAGATATTTCACAGTACTGCTGGGATGATCCTGTATGCAACCAAAATTCTTCCACTTGCACTTGGATGTAAGTGTGTAAGAGGCATTTTAACAAAAATAACATGAAGGATCTGAACTCAATCAAATGTTTTACCAGAGGAATAATTATTGAACTGAAACCCCTCCCTGCTTATTCCTCCAAGTCTGCAGCTATCTGACTGAAAACAGACCAGACTCAGTTCCCACTCCCTCTTCCAACAAGTGGACCACTGGGAGACATTTATAGTTTAACTAAACATCTGCATCAATCACATCTATTCAAAAATTGCAGATCACTGGAGACTGGACATTCCTCCTATGGAGATTGCAGAAATATTTCACATGTGATGACAGCATTTCCCTGTTTGCTGTTCCTCTCAACTTACCAGGGTCAAAACAATTCAAGGGACAAAGGTTAAAAGATTAACAGCCCTGTTTACAGAAAAATGATCCGATTGAGCCTTTAGTCATGTCTGTACAAGCTGAGGTTACAAACACATAACAACACATCAACCCTCTAGAGCGTACTTTAGCCAAACATCCTCTCTGTGGAGACACTGATATGACCTCAGTCAGCTTATGTGCAGAGATCCACTTAGCATGATGCTAATGATAATTGCATTGAGGTAACAAGTCTAAACTGCAGGTCTAATCTCTTGTAACAAAGCATATACAGAATTAATAAGGAGGGCAAAAAAGTGCCAACTCAACTCAACACACCAACAATGCACCTGGCCACACCTCATTCAAAGAGCTACACGCCCATGGCTGCTGAGATTAAGTACACTTGCTATTTGAACAATGCGAGTGCTGGAGGGGAAAATGTCAGATTTGTCTGGCTTGAAACTATGCACTCGCGTCATGCCTGGCGTGGGATCTAAGATGGAGTCCTAAATAGAAATGGACTGTGGCACATTCCATCTCTCTATGGTACCAGTAGCATCCCCATCCATCACAACTTTCACCATCACTCTTCTTGACAGTGACAGAATGTTTCACAAAGGGTGTATAGTGAAACCAGTGTGTTGACATATCGATTGTCTCGGCCAAATCTGAACATGTTCAAAAAGGAATCACGTATTGAATGGCTGTTGGGTTGTTCTATTGTGCAGATGTTCACTTGTGTCTGATCTCAAGGACGGAATGTTAAGCTGGTCTAATTGCCCATATAAACTTTTGTTTGTTTGCATTCTCACAGCACCTCAGTGCTGCACCTGAGTTCTCACCTCAACCTTAAGCTGATTTCAGACGTGCACTGAATCTGTATAATCTCCTGACATTCTCCGAAGGGGTCGTATGAGAGCGCAAATCTCTGAGTGAGAGGGTCCGGAGTTTCTCCTGCTAGCCCCTTTGTGAAAAATCCGGATAATGTCTAATTGAGCCCATGTGAGAACACAACAGGGGATAATTCGCAGGATTCACCACAACTGAGTTGGCATGTTGATGACATTTCTAACAAGCAATAGATTAAAAAAACAATAACACAAAAGGAACACACATATCTAAGGAAGAAAAATGGTGCCATACACATTGACACTGTGAAGAATGAGCGAGCTTTAAATTAAATTCCTATCTTTATGCCAAGCTAACTGCCTCCTGTCACCAGCTCGTATTACAAAGCCATGACGATGGTAAATATCTCCTCTTTTTATTCTCAGTCATGAGTGTATTTCTCAAAAGATAACTTTTCCTTTATCACTTTGTTGCAAGTTGCCAACTGAACAGTGAAGATGCTCTCCATACCTTGCATCTCATTGAGATGATTGACCTTTGTTTTCAGTCCATTGCGAAGGTTGTTAATCTCCTTCTCCAGCTGCTCCTGGTCTATCATGAAAAAAGACCAGAACAGTTTTGGGTGATCACGTTTAGCAATGATACAGCTGCATGTTAAGTTTGGGATGATTTCATATTTTGCTGATATTGAAGTGAAAAGAACTAAATACAACCCCTGCAGCAAGTGAACCGTTCTTCAAATAGTACTTAATATTTCATTGACTACACTATTTAACTACATAAACTACATACAAATTAATATTAATTGTAACATGTGAAGTGTTTGGGCACACATCCACTAAACCACTAAGAACTTCACTAATAATATGTTCTCAATTGACCTGATAGGACTTGCCAGTTGATGATCGTTCCAGAGCCATTCAAGTCTGACTCTTCACAGTTGTAGCAACAATCCACGACAACAGACTTCTGTAAGCTAATTGATGCCCACAAAGAAATAAATGAAAAGATACACAAATACAGGGAAATGTATTTTAATGTATTTTAGAAAAGCCAAGTAAGATGTCAAGATAAGATCTGGAAGAATAAGAAAACTGTCTGCCGATTAGAAAGGCAAGGCAAAACCACAATAGGATGAAGGTCTAGTTGGAGGGAGCAGCAGGTCCACTACAAGCATCCTCCAAATTTTGTAACTCTTCACCATATCTTTGAGGCAGAGCACAGCCCCCCTGCAGAGCAAATTCATTTCAGACACTTGTATGCACAATCTCATTTTTCCACTTTCTTAGGTACAATCTTTGGTGCTGTGTCACTTTGCTGTATTAGGGAAAGTGGGGCAAGATCCTGGAGACAGACCTAAAAGGGAAGCTTGCTGCTGACTAGGCCCTGGCCCATTGGGCCCAGTTGGGCACAACCCTAAGAAGTGGCATGGAACCACCACAACGGAGGTTCACCACCTGCAGAGGTCGGCATGGGTTTGGGTACATAGTTAGCTGGGCAGTATGCCAGGTCAGGGCTTGGGAAAGCTGATCCCTGATTAGTGTGGTGTCAGCAGTAAAAGGGTTACTGTAATGGACCACGGTGAAGAGACAGCTGAGTAAGTAGTCAAGGACTACTGGTCTCTGGTCATGAGCTTTGGGGAGAGGAAAGTCAAGAAATTGAAACTGAAAAGAGGCTTGCTTCCACTGGAGGACAACAATCCAACGGAGACCTCAAAATCCACTAAGATTTACTTCAATAAACAGCTGCCGCTGAAAGCCTGTGGTTGGATCTTCAACATGCTGTGCATGTAGGACAGTATTCATGAATAGAAAGACTAAAATAAGCATTTGCAGGACACATCAGCACATGTGGGGTACGAAGCATGACTGAGAAGGATCCCCAAACTTTTACTCAATCCACAACTGTACTTTCTTTTTTTTTTAGTATATGAATTAAAAAGTAGCAAGGGCATTACTGTATGAAGAAAGGCTCATTTTTTTCCTTCCACTGCAGGTTGTTTTACTTCTTTCACTTCAAAAAATGATCAATACACAGTACTTACCCAGGAGTATCCAAACTCAACTTATAATATGCTTTGTAGTGAAAATGATATAAACTGGTGGTTTTTACCTTTCTGAATCATCTCTCTTGTCTTTGATTTGGGGAATTTAATGAACATGTTTCCAAAGCAAACCTTCACTTTATCTGCAAAAGAGAGTGGTGGTTCATTAAATGTTTGGTGCATCTACAACCAATATTACAATGATCATAATTTAAAAAAAAATAATTATTGCTATCAAGTTAATAAAACTCATAAGATAATATTGTGTAAATCAATGTAGTGCTGCTTAAATAATGAATGTTTCTTTCCATCATGACGCAATAGCTTTGTGGTTCACATTCCAACATGGCACATATTAGTTATTATTTCTATACTATTAGCTGAGCAAAACTCTTCTCTTTCTGTGAGAGCAGTGGAGACACAAAAACAGCTGATTGAGGCTAAGCTGCAACATCAACATTACCAAATCTTCTGTTGATGACGTGTCACTCACCTGAATCGGACATTTCAGTTTTCAGTGCGTTCAGTGCCTCTCTGTTCTTGTTTCTCTTTGTGTCCAGGTCCACAATCTGAATCATAACAGAGTATGTTATTTCTCAACATTACACAGAAGCTAATGCTGAGATGTTCTTGTGCCTTTTCATTATGAAATCAAGCTTATGGATTGATGAGTAGAACATAAATCACAGTCATGTTAGTTGGTTATGCTGTAAAACAGATATATATGCCACATTGTCTGGTGTTGCTTTATAAAATATCATCTCTATAAAACAGTTTCATCTCTGACACAGCAGCGTGTCTGTGGACTAACTGTTTTCTCATTTGGCGGTTCTGGTATTTGTGCTCCTTCATATTGAGGTGGGACAATTATTTGATACAATCTAATATAATAAAGTTAAACAAAGTTGAATAAAGTCCAGGTTAGCTTCTGAATCAGATTCTGTGGCAACCACTAGGTTGTGCATAAGACAGCTCAGCAAACTCTTTGCTGAGGAGTTTTAATGTACAGAGAGTTATTTTACAAATGTCTACAAATCACTCAGATGGATCTCTGAGCATCCCCATCAGCAGGACACAAGCACGGGCAGGGGACAGAAAACATCCCAAAATGGCTGACATCTTACAACCTCCAACACGGTTTTTGTGCTGAAAAACAATACATGCAATTAGTGGGAAAACTCTAAAACCACTTTTCAGTAATCTGGTCAGAGCTCTGGTGTAATGAAATCCAAGCTGTGAATGAGTGTACAGTAAAGCTGTGAAATAAATGTATGTTTTAAAGGTTCAGTGTGTAGAATTTAGTGACATCTATTGGTGAAGTTGCTTGTTGCAGCTGAACACTCCTCATTTCCTCCTCCCCTTCCCAACATGGAACAGAACCTGTGGTGAACTTCAGTTGTCATGAAAATGCAAAAGGCTTCAGGTTGTCCAGTTTGAACGACAGTAAAAAACATGGCGGCCTCCACAGAGAGGACCCCCCTCCATGTAAATACACAGTTTTTAAATATAAAGAGCTCATTCTATGATTAAAAAAACAACAATTCATACAATTTAGACGTAACACACCAGTAAAAAACATTGGTAGGATTATTTTATATTAAATTTCTGCCAAAAATCCCCTTCAACTAAATCTTACACACTGAACCTTTAAAGGAAGACAGTTCAGTACATCGCTATAATTGACATGTGTTACATTTACTGTATTCTTATAGCAGTTTTCTAGCCTTATAGATCACTCAAAGCACTTCAGTACAAGCCACATTCAACCACTCATACACACATTCATACAGTGCTACTACATCCTTTACTTCTTCAATCACACACTGTCTCCACACCAGCATATGTGGGTTTATGATATATTAATAGCACCTGCAAGTATTTTGCACTTTGCTACTTTTTGTACAGATATAACAACATTTGGGATTAGACAGGATTATACTGTTTAATTTCTTTATGATCTCATTGTTAATTTGCATTTGCCTTTATTATTTTTGCCTTCCTTTTTTTCTCCTGTGTAAATAAACTACACCTCGTATCTTGTTAAAAAAAAGAATACTTTTTATTACAATTTCGATCATTGATATGTTTGTTTTCTCACTTGTGAACCGTGAAAGGGTGATATTTCCAATTCCATCTTTTTCAACAGGAATTACTCTCTCGGCTCATGTGCTGTTAATAGCAGTACAAACTGAGTAATTCTTCACATCGCTCAATTATCAGTGTTGTGATCATCCTGATCTTATTTCAAAGCTTGATTGTACTTTCACCATTCATGTGTTGTCTTATGATATATAGTAGAGCGTTCTTTTTTTGTTAGGGAAGGTGTCGTGGAATTAAATGATTATTCACTGTCCAAGCCCTCCAGGAGAAGTTGTATTTACCTAAGAGAGAAACACTGGCCTTCAGCCTCAAATCAATGAGGAATAGGTGGAGGGATAAGAGTTAGCATGAGTCAGTAATGTTGACAGTATTTGCGTTAATGTTGCGCTGTGTTGTATTTGTTGGAGCCATTGCACTTCCATGTGGTCAGTGCTAATGCATTCCCTCAGTCCTTTGTCTCCAGCAGACATTTGGACAGGTCACAGTAAAGACCCAGGTGTCTCCTAGTTGATCACCAGTGCTTCTCCCACTGAGACATGCCACAGAGCTAACAAGACCAGTACGGGACTCAATTCATATCACGCGACAAACAGAGACATTGTAACTGGGATCGCAGCTCTTATGAACAGGCTGTGAACCAAGCTAGTTAGCTTAGCTGCTAACAGTCTGAGGTGCGGTTCTGGTAGCTGTCCTCTCAGGACACCTTGCTGTGGACGTGTCGAGCTACCTGCTGTTTAGTAGTGAGGACATCCTCCGCCGCTTCCTCCACTTCGGTCATATACTCTATAACAGCGTCCATGTTGGCTGTGTCGCTACCAAAATACGTCCGGTGTGAAACAACTACGCTTCGCTTCTCTCACGCTGGGTGTGTGAGGACCCGCCCTGCCCTGTCTCTGACTGGCTTAGGTTTGGGCAAGAAGACTGATGATTGGTTAGGATTATTGAAGGAGATCAGGGTTAGCCAATCACAGAGAGGTACCAGCTGTAAAAGAGCTGCACTGTAATAATTCCCCAGTAAACAGTAAAACACAAACCTCTTCCGCATGAATCGATGGTTGTTAGTGTATCACGTTGGTGAAATAATGTCGAAGGAAGTGACCACTATTCACTATCAATGTACAAAAATCACTCTACCATCTCTCTCCAAATGTGCATGTCTATGAGCCCTTTGTGTGTGTGTGGGATTGTGGGTTTAACTGCATGTATATATAATGAAAATTAGTGTAAAAAGAATTTCTCATTGAGGGATCAATAAAGTTTCAATTATTATTATTATTATTATTAAAACAATTTATTACCAAAATGTTTGTTGAAAAGTTAAACAATTCTTTTTTTCTGTGTTGTTGAGTCAGTAATACATAACTGTCTTATTGGTAAAACTCATTCTGATTTCACTGTGTACTTTAAAATGGATGAAGTGTACTGTCTGTGTCTCTAAGTCTATATATCCTCTCCAAAACACTTAGACTAACATGAGGATGTTAACGGCTATTTACTCTTTTCTAATGCATTTTGTTTGTAGTTAATTAAGTTGTACACAAAGCACTTACAAACTATCTGTAACCAGCATTCTTGGTCTCTGATGTGTAACACACATTATAGACATTCCCTTCCACACTTCTGATTCCCCTTCAAAAGTGAATCTTACACACCTCGAGCAGGTTTCAAATGTGTGGGAAATGTAGTCTGCATGTGCAAAATAGTTTTCAAACATTTCAAAACAGATTTCTTTTTGCATCTGCTTATATAATCTGTAGAGATTGTAATTGTGAATTGTAATAAATAGCATGTGGGAAAATAACATCATATATGTAACACTGCAGAGGAAACACTATGTCACATTTTGCCACATGTGGTTTGTAGAAATATGTTTGAAAAGATTCATTCCACATGACTTTTGTTATGTCTTACACTGCATTACATATCAGATGTTTTGATACCTCAAAACAAGACATTGCTTTCTTTAGAAAACTGCTCAGGATCTGTGAAGCTGAACGTTGATTGTGATTGAACCTGACACTAAATTTGTGGAATGTGTTCTAGTTCACACTGCATATGGAGACCAAACCAAACTATGAAGTCCAAAGTACTCTCTGTAGACCACTGCGATAATATTCTGTTGACACACAGAACAGGGAAAGGTTATACAAACATTTCTAAAGCTTTGAGCACTCCCGGGAGCTCAATGTTTGGAACCAGGACTCTTATGGGGCTTGGCCATGATGGCCAAACTGAATAACTGCATTTGAAGAGGTGTGGTCAGGGAAAAGAGCAAGAACTCAGCAGTCACTCTGACGGCTTCAGAAGTCCTCTGCAGAGATGGAAGAACCTACTCTAAGAACAACCATCTCAAGAGCACTCAATCAATAGGACCATTACGATTTGGTGAGTAGATAGAAGCCACTTTGAGTAAAAATCATATGACAGCCTGTTTGTTGTTTGCCAAACAGTATTTTATGGATTCTGAGAGTGTGGAAAAAATTATTCTCTCGTCTGATGAGACAAAAAAGAACCAAAACAATGCTGGAGTGTCTACTGGACGAGCATCTGACTGTCATTGAGTGACCAGGTCAAAGACCAGATTTACAACACAGAACCTCTGTGGAGAGACCTGAAGACAACAGTTCACAGACACTTCCCATTCAATCTGACAGAGCCTTAGAGAAACGGACAGTAAGAATGGGACAAACTGCCTGTACTTGTAGAGACTTTACCTATACGATGAATCAAAGCTGTAACTTCTGCCAAAGGGTTTTTTCCAAACTATTGAGTTAGAGGTGTGTGTAGATTTTTCCAAACCTGCCTGTTTGGCTGTTCTCTTGGTCCGTCAGAATTACTCCTTATCTTTATTGAGTCCTCCTCAAACAGTTCTACAATATACTGTCACTTTTTAATGTTTGTGTGCTGAGCTTTTCATAAAAGGTCTATGATGCAGAACGAAGTTAGAAAACGTTGTGTTCATCCTACCTGGTTTATTTACAATGAATATTTTACAGTCAATGTTTTTCATAAAATGAGACTGCATTTGTTTGATTACTTTTCACTTGTGTGGCTTATATTGAATGATTTACTGAAATGCTGTTATGTTTTTAATACATTGCCTATTTCAGAGGTCTGTTAAGTAATCCACACAATCTTCAGACCCAATTTCAAAACTTTTCAAAATGTAATTCAGCTCAATATAAACAAACATTGTGCTTTACCTTTTTCTGCCAAAAAGGAAAAGATTATGAGAAGGCCGTTGCCATGACGGAGATCTGCACCCGTCGTAGTTCAGTCCATCTGTGTCCCAGCCCAATATGGTTAAATAAAAATAATCAAATCATCAAAATGACATGTTGGGACACTGACTGCTACATAGCGCTGGTTGCCTGATTATTACAATTCTATCAATATTGAAGAATATATATGTATTTACAATACACATGACAAGTCAATTAGCTGAACGATTTGCAAAGAGATTTGCATTCCACACAGGAGGTACATTTTCCAAAACACGTTTGAAGTTTTTCATAGTAGACTGATCTAAATTTCATTAAATAGTAAAACTTCACAACAGACTGTAGCGCGAGAGGTGAAATAAAGAGTGCTCTTCTCACCACTGGCTCCTGCTTGTTACACTACTGGCTGTGTGAGGCTGTCAACAACTGAAGGGGACTGAGATGAAAATAGAATTTGTTTAACTCTTCTCTCCTCTGCAGGACAGCGACAGAAGAGACTTTAGTGAATAGATCCACCAGACACAATTAAAGTAAAGGAGACAGAAATAAAGCGGTACATTCCTTGATTGATCCACAAATGCTGGTGATAAATCATTTCATAAACCAATCAGAAAGCCTGTGAAAAGGGAACAACAGGGCCGACACCATTTTGTCAGTCACCTTGAGAAATTGCACCAGTCAATCATAATTTTTCAGTAATGTTTAATAATGGTTGTGATGCTTTTCTGTTTGTTGAGTGGCAGCTTCTTCATTCACATCACAAGTAAAACTGTAAAAACGTTCGTACAAACATACTTAATGTATTGTGCTGACGAGGGCTTACTGGGTTAAATCAAGAAGAAACTAAAATAGTCTTGATATCAATACCCACATGCGCATAAGAGTTATGTAACAACAAAAAGTGCTGCACAGCACTGGATTAAACATTATTATGTATTTATAATATCCTGAGAACAGAGAAATATGGCAAAACATCACATTCTCGAAGAAAAAGAGGAAAAACATCTTCTACTCTTTCTGTCAATGCATTCGAATAATGAAAATTGTAAACATTTGTAGAGTGAAAATCCAGACTTACAATCAAATCCTAAAAGTGAGGACTGCAGTTGTAGTGTACTGTTTGAAAATACAGAACTCAGGTTGTTAAGTAACAAATTCCACCTGTTTTGGTCTGTTTGGCCTGTGAACAGGAGGATATTTGGACCCAGGTAAATTGTCCATTATTGCAGTGACAGCATCTGGTTTTATTTCTTGTTCCTTCAACTCAGCTGCTCCCCTTCGCTTGGTTTCTCCTCTTCTACACTCGGAACCACTCCGGCTTTTCTCCCATCCATTGTGTCGTCTCTCTACTCCTCCACCTCTCCTTTGCTCAGAGTCACTCCTTCTCCTAAACCCCCCTGTCCTGTAATACAGTGCATCCCCTTGTGCTCCAACACCTGAGTCCCTGACGGTGGATTGAGGCTTCGTGTTAGCACCTTGAGCCGGGTTGCGGATGTTGCCAGAGGCTTGCATTCTCCTTAGGTGGCTGTTGGCCCTCACAGGGCTGCTTAACCTCTGAGCTCGAGATACCATGTTCCTGTCCGAGGAGTGCACCCGGCTCTCACTGTAGCTCCTTTTTGGGAGCGATGCAGGCCCTCTGCACTCCAGCGTGGGGCTCAGTCTCGAGGGACGGGTGTGGCAGTGGGTGGAGCGGCAGCACGAAGTGTTACAGGTGGAGATGCTTATGCGGCACAGAGAGCAGGCACAGCCGGAGAGCAGGGTAAAGTGAGTGGCCAGGGAAGAGAGAAAGGTGAGGGGGAAGGCACGCTGACACTGGAGGATACACTTTGGAGAGCTGAGGCGTGACGAGGCAGCAGCGGGTGACCTGTGGCAGCTGGACGTTGCATCTGAAACAGTTGACCTCCCGCTCTCATCCTGAACAGTCTGGAGCTGACGCCACTCCAGCTGCAGCAGCCTCTCCAGGTACCTTTCCAAACTTCCCACTGGCCTGGGCCGAGAAGCCCCCAGGCCCTCCATGTTGTAGAAGAGAGCCAGCTGACTGAGACTCCATGAGTTAAAAGGTGGAGGAAGGAAGTCTGGGAAGTCAAAGCCTCTGCTGCCTTGTCGTGTGGGCCTGTGGCTGCGGGCAGAGCAGTCTTCAGCCTCAGGGACATCTGGCCTCAGCTCCAGCTGTGGAGGAACCCGACCAGAGGACAACACAGGAAGTCTCTCTGACTCAGACAAGTCGGTGTCACTGTCACTGTCTCTGTGGCCGCTCAGATGTCCTACCTCTGGTTTTGGTGAGAGTCCCTCCAGCAGATCGGGGCTGGAGTCAGACAGGCGGTGGCAGGGAAAGGCTGGTGTGTGTCGGCTCCCTCTGAATCCTGTGTGCTTCTTCTCCCTGTGGCCGGAGCGCTGAGCAGCTGGCTGCACCTTTGGCTCCATCCTGTCTTCTGCAGAGGTAGGTGGATGGGACTTTGACTCCAAGGTTCCCTGAGCACTGGAAAAAAAAAGATTATTGTAACCCAACTCTCAGGAAACAAAGGACGACATCACATTTAAAAAACACAATAATCTCACCTGTGTTGACAGGTATTGCGTTTAGTCTGGGGGGGGTGGGGCTTGTGCTTTCTTCTTTGCTGCATTCTCTGCGATTACAGAGAGACACTTTTAACCCTGCACACATTTGAACATTTCATTCAACACAAGTTCAAACTAAGGCTGGTTTAATGTGAGATCAAGGGGTCATGCTTTCCTCTGCATTTGTTTGTTAGAAGGGTTACGCAAAAACTACTCAACCCATTTCCATTAAGTTTTGTGGAAGGATGCAGTTTTTTTGGGGGGGGGGTTTCCGCTGATTTCTCAGGGAATTATTCATGCTTCTTGAAAAAAAATCTTACATTTTAAGGGAATGGTATTCATGAGTGTGTGCAATTTGGTGTAGATCAAAATATAAATCCTGATCTAGGAAATTTAGATGTTGATTCATGAGGGGACTGTTGGACTAGAGGTATGAGCTGTCTTGAGTATCATTCTTGTTTTCTTTGAAGATTAATCACAAATTAAGAAATCTGGGGATATTCTCCAGAAGGGCTGTATCTGAGAACACAGATGTTCCAGTGAGAGCCTCCCGACTTCATCTAGAGTCTCTCCTCCCAGCACCTGCCAGAATGTCAGAATGAGAGAAAACAGAAGGAGATCCTCCAGAGGATTCACTGCGAGCGAGCGGATGTGCTGATGACGTTTCAAACACGTGACAGAAGTAAAAAAGAAAAACCACGAAACGAATACAAATTCCTAAGATGAAAAAGAGGTGCCGTACATGTTGAAGGCACCACAAAGTAAGAGAGCGTTTGGTGATAATGGCCGACGCTGGTGTTGATGTGCTGTAAACAAAAACACATGATCTCTGCAGCAGAATTAATACATCAGATCCTGCCTCTGCCTGGTGCACCTGAACACTCGTTGTTGTGAATGTGTCTGAACCATAGACTGTATATAAAGAGGTCTGACCGGAGAATCTCCTGCTGCGTTGTTTGTGTGTGAAAAGCAAACTTCGGGGAAAGTCCGGACCCAGTTCTGTTGACATTCTCCAGGGCTCATGTCTGAAAATGTCTTCTCTATAAATCCAGTCTTTAAATTGAACCAGCTGATCTTCACATTGGAAAAGCTGGTATTAGAGAGTCATGTGCATTTCTGCCTAATGAGGAATTATCCAGCTACAACCACTGCTCATTCATTTATTCATGACTAATGAATAATGGAGACATCATTAACTTACTTTCTCGTTGTCATGCTCTTGACTTGGGACCATGTACTGTGGCTGCACTGACTTCCTTTGCGACTGATGCCGTCTTCCCATTTTGTTGCTGTGGGAACAAAACACCCCTCATATATAAAACATCGAACACGAGCGATGGGAGACAATAAAGAAAACACAAGACCGGAATAGGAACGATAGGAATGAAATCCACAAACACGAAGGTGTAATCAGAGCCGACATGACGGTGATGCTCTGTAATGACACTCGGGGTGAGATTCCCCCCGGTCTGTCTCCATCACTGACGATGACAACATGTATGCTGGTGTGATGCTCTACCTGGGATCGGGAGGCCTGTTGTTGCTCTTCTTCCTCCGGCAGCTCTCCTCCTTCTCCCCGATCAGCACCCTGCTCTCCACACAGAGCCGAGGCTGTGGGACCCGCTCCTGCAGCACTGCGCCCATCAGCTCAGCGGTTCACCACAAACACGTCTGTGATGCTGCTGCTAGCGTGTGTGTGTGTGTGTGTGTGTGTGTGTGTGTGTGTGTGTGTGAGGTGGGGGCTGTGACAAAATCCTATTTTAATTGTAAAAAAAAAAAGAATCTGCAGCCGTCCAGCAGAGGGCGCCTCGGGTGTGTGTGCAGGCAGGGGCGGATGTTTCATCTCATTGTTGGGGGGGGACAATACACAGAGGAATCATGTGCCATTCCCAAGGGGGGGTCCAGTAGCTTATATTTGCACTATAGCAACATCCACAAAGTTAAATAATGGTAATAGTATGAATCAGATTTAGTTTGATCAAAGACGCAGTGTGTAAAGGTCCAGAACATTATGAAGCCTACAAGACACTGAACGTAACAGCGTTTGCTGTTTGTGTGTATTTTTTCCTATGAATTAAGTCTTTATTTATTTCCAAAATGATACTGGAAATGAAAGACATTTAACATGCAGTAAGAAGAACGAATTGAATTACTTTGGGTCAATATAAAATAAATATTTTTCATCTTTAAAAGATCAAGTATTTTGAAACCAGCTGTTTTAGTGTAACCAAGCATTCTGTATGTGTGCTTGTGACAGCAGATGATAAATAAATAAATAGATGAATTAATAAATAAACCTTTATTCTTAGACCTAGAACTCGAGCCTATCGTTACTTTCAGTGATGTGCAACTTATGGCTGGGTGACAAAACATTATCAATTAATTATCACACTATACTTTTCTACATTGGCCTGACAACCAAAGTCCAATATATTTTGATGTAATGCTTATGCATTGTTCAAGCACAGTGATAACACAAATCAATCTACTGCAGATTTGTAAAGAGTTTATAAACACAACCTTTACTCAGGAGCAGAAATCTGTCTTTAAACTTAAAATAAACAATGTAATCATTATTGATATTGGTTGGTATTAAAATGTTCATCTTGATATCAATCTATCAATCAAATTATATTTTCATAGCCCATATTTAGAAATCACAATTTGCCTCATTGGGCTTAACAGAGTGCCACATCCTCTGCCCATAACCCTCAGCAAGAGTAGGGAAAAACATTTAACAGAGAAAAAAATGAAACCTCAGAGAGAGCCACATGTGAGGGATCCCTCACCCAGGAAGGACAGATATCATTTCGGCCATACCTCCCTGCAGCCCGAGGACGACTACTCCGGTCTTGGTCAAAGTATAAACACAAACTTACTTTGTAACAAGTAGAATTCCTGCATATTAAGAAGCATTCAGATTAAAAAGGATAAACAGAAGAGCATCAAAATCAACATGTACTCAAAGTATCATTTAAGTAATAATTATTCAGAATGAATCATTCAAAAAAATTTATATATTTTGTAGCCTATGATTGAATTACGTGTACGTGGGAAAATGGAAGTTGGTCCTGAGAGCCTGGTGAAATATTCTGTATGGTTTGAATTTTGATGATATTGATTTAAATAATCGTTCTGTAATGTATTTTACAAAGTCAATTCATATATTCTTTAAGGCAATAGACACTGAGGGAAGGGTGACTTGTTTTGTTTGACAACCATGTTGCATTCATCAAAAAAAGATGAGGAATGGTGAAAAGTAAGTAAGGAAATAGTAGCACAAGAACATAAAATCAGACTCATACACATAAGGTTAGTGTAGAAAACAAGCCATAGACTAACCTCATGAATAATCATGTATATGAGTATGTGTGCGGTGTATATACACACACACACACACACACATATACAGTATATACTGTCTCCTAACTGCACCTTTTTATACTTCTTGGGAAGAACTACTCCTTTAAAATGAGATGACACAACAGTAATGAAGAGGTCCACAGCAGCAGTGTGCTCAGCAGTTTTCATTGATAAGCAAACATGATTAGAAATGTTACATTTCTTCAAACTCTTCTGACCTAATGTAAGCCATATTAGAAATGAATACAATCTGTTTAAAATCCCACCTCGTATCTCAGACACACTGTTGATGACTTACGGGATCTACTTAGAGACATGCTTCATTTGCATATTACAACATGGCTCAGGTGTGTATTCATTCAGGTGTTAATGTGAACAATTAGCACGTTAAGGCTTTAACTCAAACAGTCAGTCGTCAGTAGTGAGGGAATGAGTCTGGATACATGACTACGGGTCAGCACTGGAGAGAGAACTCCCTCCACGTCTCTTCTGTTAGTGTCCACACACATCAGTGCACACATGGAGCTGGTGTCCTCTGTAATGTGGTTTAATACTCAATGGTCACTGCCTTTGTCTTCAGGTATTCATTCAGAGCCTCTTGTCCTGTTGGAGAAACAGAGACTGACAGTAAGTATGGATATGATTTAAGAAAGGCTGGTGTTCACTGTCCTAACCCAACACCCCACAGCAGCTTTCAACATGTCAACAATAAGATACAAAGAAATTAGGGGCTTATTTGTTGGGTACAAAAAAAAATAAAGCTTCACTGATTCAGATTCACTCCTCAGACAAATGACTCTGCAGTAGACACAGTAGACGTTGGCGCTTAAATCGCTATGAACGTTTATGAACTTGTTGTTTTCTTGACAACAACATGCAACAGAGATTTCTGTCTTCGCATCGTGGCAAGATGCAACACTGGCAAGACAGCAAGGTGAGAGAGCTTCTCAGTTTCCTGTGTTTGTGACATGGAAAAACAGAAAGGCAAACTCCTCCACTGGCAATGGGAAAGAAGTCAATCAGCTTTTTTTGGCGAGCTGAGCCACATTTAAAAAAAACAGTGTGCACTTGGTGTGAAAATGGAATTAGCATTTATCATTTGAGATTTTAACATTGTGAAGGGGGACACTCTTCATGCCTCTAAAGCAGAGCAGAAGTGTAAATGACGCCGTTTCAAGGCGAATATGAATGTCTGGGCTTGTGGACACTTGAATGACAGCACAGGATTAGTATGAAGGTATCTTTTCTGGCTCTTTTTTTTACATTTGAATAATTGATCAATAATTAATCAGTTACTTGGATTGTATTTGGCTGCAACACTGTTTACCCCTGAGACTCCAAAAGTGTTTTGTGGACTCAAACACTTCACCCACCCCTCCATCAGCATAGTGGGGAGGAGAGAAAGCATTTTCCAAACACAATTTCCTTCTTTCCTGGCTTATGTTCCCTTGTTGTGGTTCATTGGACTTGGAGTTTATGTTTCACACATGCAAAACGCAGCGGAGGGTTTTCTGCTCAGGAACAAATTCTCTGCAGGATTCAGGTGAGGGGAGGTGCAGCAGACAGAGGCAGGAAGTAAGGTATTAAATCTGCTGCAGAAATAGAAAGACCACAAACTCTCCTGACATCTCTGTCAACCTTCTGCGTTTATGAATTTTAAATCATATACTGTACTATAGCCCAGCATTCTCACACACTTCATATGAAGACAGTGACAACACATCATGGTATGTATGATCAAAGTCAACATGGTTGGAGAGCAGATATTTCAATTCACTCAAAATAACGAGTAACACAAATTAACAGTGACAGTAAAACCATGACCTCAATGTCTTTGTATTTCCTTGACCTGGTTTGAATTACAAATACTATTACAATACTGAATATAAATGAAGTAACTACTGCTACAGATAAACAGCAGCAGTTTTTACTTACCCAGGTCTTTGCCAAATCCAGACTGTTTGAAGCCTCCGAAAGGCGAGGCCACATCAGTCTTGTTGTAGGTGTTGACAAAGACTGTGCCGGCATTGAGCCTGTCACTGACGTACAGAGCTTTGCTGATGTCTCGTGTGAAAACACCTGACGCCAGGCCGTACTCTGAGGCGTTGGCCCTTCTCAGGACATCGTCCACCTCACTGAGACAAGGGGACAGAGAGGAGGGGTCACGGTGGAAGAATCAGAGCAGAGAAGAAAGACTCAGGGCTTGTCTTAATGATTCAAAGTGAACTTGAGTTGTCCTTACTCGCCCTTGAACTTGGAAATGATCATGACAGGGCCAAACGACTCCTCTTTTGCGATGTACATGTGGTCCTGAACATCAGTGAACACCGTGGGTTCGAAGAAGAAACCTTTAGGAAGGAAACATAAAATAATGAGCGCACATCATCCAGAAACATGGAGACTGCATCTCACTACACTATCAACCTTCTGTTGTCTCACCTGGTCGCTCTATCTGCTTGCTGCCACAGATCAGGGTGGCTCCCTCCTTCACACCGGTCTGACAGTACTCCACCAGTTTGTCCAGGTGGGCTTTGTGGTTCTGAGGGCCGTGGTCGGTGGATCGGTCCAGCGGATCACCAATCTTCATCTTGTTCACCTCCTCAACCTGAAAGAAAGAACATCCAAACTCTAAAGTCCAACTGACTTTTTAGTCCTCCCTTTTACTTTCAGTCATCAGAAAGTATAAAAAGAAGGTGAAATGGTTCCTTTTCCTGCAGCTGGTGTGTGAATGACATGGTGGACTGCCAGTGTGTTGCCACTGGTACTCAGGCCTGTGTGTAAATGCATCCAACACCAGAGTATGAATGCAATATGACCCAAGTGTAAGTGGTTCAGGCTCTCTGACCTTGTGGTACATCATCACTGTTGTGAGGCAAGGGAGACAGAGGACCATCATCACTTCACAGGTGATCATCAGAGCTTGTGTCAAACAAATAAACCAAATTAGAAAAGGGTATCGTGTGTCCTGCAGAAATCATCTGGCAAAGGAACTGAAGCTGAGCTTGTTTTAGGGAAATCAGCAATCTGTAATATGTATGCTGTTAAATGACAGTTTGGGAATTTCATTCAGAGATGTTGAATACCTCTGTCAGCCCCTTGGCTGCAGAATGGTTTATTGTATTGGTGCAGCGAGATGGAAATTATTTACAGAGGCTTCAGAAAGTATTCAGGGAAACCGAGGGAGTGGTGAGCTCAGCCAAATATTTGGTTCTTGAAGAAAACCAGAGTGCAGACGACCCGAGACACAGCACATGCAGCCAAGATAACAGTGGAGGGACTTTAGGACAAGGCTCTGACTGTCCTTCTGTGACCCAGTCAAAGCCCCCAGGTAAACCCCATA